TTCTATACTCTAACTCCATTATTATATTACAAAACTGGACATCATACACTTACGGTATAAATTACGTTATAGAATACGCGTGACACTCTGAATGCCCTTTTGGTACTTTTTGATCTTTCTTAGTCATATACCTTTCTTTTGCATCAAATTGGCTCATAAAACTATCCAATCATCGATATGCAACTTGAATCAATTTAGTCCCCGAACCATAATTTTTTGGCATTTAGTAATTAGAACCGCCGGGTATAAATTTAATTATAGAACCAAACCGATTCATTTCCATTTGGTTTCGTATCATAATTATTTTTTTAACATTTAGAACAATATTATATTAATCCAACTAATGACATGTACAATCTTAACTTTTACAACAACACTACATTAAATTTTATAAAATAACGTAGTCCAATTTAAAAATATATAAATAACAAGTTTCTAATAAGATTCATTCATCAATATATAAAAAAAATTAAATAATAATACTAAAACATTTGTGATTCCATCTCATCGATTCTTTTGCTTTAAGCTTTCAAATCTATGTAAAAAACTTAGGTCACTCAATTTTTATTTTTTGAAATTTGAATCACAAAGTTGGACTTGAGCTTAAAATGAGAAAAATAATATTTTGGATTGAATTAATTAGTTGAAAAATTTATATAGAAAAAAATAAAATAATTTTGCTTATTTAATAAAACATTAAAAAATTAGAAAGATTCGTTTCTTATTCGGTTTTGGAGTTTTATCCAGTACGTGTGTGTGAAGATTTATGTGTAGTATCATAAATTCATTAAGTGATTTAAGTACCTACTCTCAATGGCCAAATTTATCAATTTTTCTCCCGTGAGATGCACACCTTAAAACTTATTCCTTTAACTCTTTTCCCAATAATCAACTAAACTAAAAACTCTTTGTTAAAAGTTTAATTTTTTAAACAAGTGTTCGGTGCTTTAAAATATGTAGTGCGTCTTCTATTTAATGCACATGTTTTTTCATATTTGCTATGTATATTTTTTTTAATGTGTTAGTTTGATCTCTTTTTCAGTTTTCTTTTTGGGATTTTCAATAAGTATCCCATCTTTTATAAAATAGCTTGACTCGTAAATCATCACAATTTTTTTCCTTTTACATACAATGATTAGTGCATTGTCCCTTATTAAACAGCAATTCTTAAAAATTAACCTCCAACATAAGACTTTCATCTTATTGACCTTCCATACAAAAGTTTTCACACGTGAAATTCATATTTATTTCACCATCTTCCTACAACAGTTCAATTACCTCCAAACTATACTAGACTTGGTTTAAAGATGTATATTGTATTGATTTTTCGTGTTTAGCACCTAAATTTCACTATTTTCAATCAATTCAATCATTTGAATCAAATTAATCATTCATGATGTAGAACATAAATCTAGTGTGCAAAGTAGCATAAATCAATCCAACATGCAACGTTTTTCATAATTTTTAGTCTAACATATGGTTTCAAATATATTTATCACAGTAGACAAGATTATCTAACACACATAGTACACGAAATAGACAATAAAGCAGAAAAGAACATTTTTTTTTTTTGCTTAATTTTCATTTTTTATGCACAAATAAGAATAAAAAATATATAACATACTCAATGTTTTCCCACCCCAAGATTTATAACAAACATTGCTCTCGATATCTAGAATAACAAGTAATATACAAAAATTAAGGGCAAAGAAGGGAACTAAGTACTCTCTTGATATGTGTCTGAAAGTTGTGGTTGAACTGACATGAAAGTTTTGAATCTAGCAATCTACTTATGTGTGTCATTTCCCTTGTTCATTGTATGTTTAGGTGTCATGTTCCTACAAAATGAAGAGAACTCTATCGGTAGTCATATAATAATATGGAACAATTTATATTAAGTTCAAATGTATGACAACCAACAAGAAAATCTAGGGACGAAGTGGGGACGAAAATAGGAAACGTAGGTCGCGACTGTAGGTAGGGAACGTGATCAAAGTTGCGATTGCGCTTTTTGGGCGCAGGTTGCATTTGTGCCTATGTTGTGCATGTATCATGTCAATGACGTTCAAAATCATTCACTACAACCTCAATGATGTGTATTTAGGGATAAAGATGCCTAACTACTTACTAGCACACAAAAGCAAATAAATTACCTACTATCTCAAAAGCATAATAAATAAAAAGGAAAAAAGTTGGGTTGCCTCTCAATAAATGCTTATTTATAGTCATTAACTTAATTTTGTTACTCTGACTACTCATTGTAACCTGAAAAGGAAATTGTTCGCCTTACAATGGCTGCACTTACTGACATTTCCTGATTCATTTTTTACCTTCCAAACTTCAAAGTTACGATACTTGTACTTAATTGCTCCCACCAGTTCATCAACTCCATTTTTGTACTGCTGAATTCCATAATTATCCATCTCTTCATGATCAAATTTTTTTTTCACTCCTTGAGGTAGGCTGGCTGATTGGGTGGAATATAGATGCTGAAACTTTGTTGGTTGTCTTCCACCCTCAATGTGTGTTCATGATTTTCAAAATCTATCCGTGCATGTACAATTGCTAAGAATAGTCTTCCAAAAATTACCGACATGTATTAATTCTCTCCTACATCAAGGATGATGAAATCAATTAGAAAGATTAAATTTCCAATGTTGATGAATACATCCTCAACCATTCCTTGAGGGTGCTTGATTAATATGTCTGCCAGCTGTGTAGACACTACTGTTTCATTTGGCTCTCCCAAACCTAATTTCATATACACAAACAACAACATTAGATTAATACTTGCTCTTGAATAAATTAAAGCATTAATATTATAAGAATTTCATATAGAGCAGCGAAACTCCCTGGATCTGTTATGGTGGTAACTTATATTGTAGGATTGGCACTCTTTTGTCAGGGCCTCTGTTTCATATTTCATCAGTTTTCTCTTCTTATTCAGCTTCTCTTTCAAAAACTTCGCATAATTAAGAATCTGTAAGATTGCGCCAATCAAAGGAATATTTATGTAAATCTTTTTTTAAGGACATTTAAAAAAATTTCAAACAGCTTCTCGAGCTTGTTATTCTATAACCTTTGGGAAAACAGGATTGGAAGTATGTGTGAATTGATAGGAACAGTTGCATTAACATGTGGACTGTTTGAATGTTCTTCCTGATTAACATATGTTTCTTATTTAGACTAAACCACCTGTTCTTCTCCCATCATAGGTACCTGATTATCCTCAGTTCCATTCCTCTTTATATTGATATCTGGCAACTGAACTCCATTCCTTGTAGTGATAGTATGAACATTTTCCTCTTTAGGCTATTTTCGAAGCTTTTGAGACTATGGAACTGAAGGTACATTAGCTTGTACAAGGGATAGCTTTTGTGATTGGTGGTTTGTCTACAATTTCATTCTCTATGACCTTGATAGTTAACACATGTTCAGGTTGATTTATTTTTGTGTTGCTCAGCAGGGTACCTATTGCCCTGTTGGACAATGCAACTACTATTTGCCCCACCTGATTTTCTAGATTATGAATTGAAGCCTATTGATTCTGTAGAGTATTGTCAGTTTTGTAACGTACTGAATAAGTAAATCCTCCATTGATGGACTCTTCTCATATTGCTGCTAAAACCTTGGAAGTTTGCCCCTGATTCTGATTTCCTTGACCCTCATTCTTTGCCCATAAAAAAAGTTCGGGTGATTTCTTCAACCTGGATGCCTTTCAAAATTGCCACATCTAACCTCTTTAAACTGAAATGTATGAGTGGAAGCTAGGGCAACTTGCAGTTGTATGATTTGTCTCGCAGTCTTTACAAACTTGTGTAGATTGGTGATAAATTGTGACCAAAACATGTGTTGTGATCGATAATTTAACAATTTGTGATTGTCTTCTAAGTTGTGACCTATAATATTTGTGATTTGTGATCGATAAATAAATTATAAAAAATAAATTTTTTTTTCTGTGATCGATGAATAAATTATGGCCCATAAAATTTCTGAATTGTGATCGTAAAATAATTTTTAACACATAAAAATTTTGTTTGTGATCGTAAAATAATTTGTGACTTATACATGAACAAATTGTGACATATAAAATTTTTGAAGTGCGACCTTAATGTGACATGAAAGTGTGATTTGTGACCAAATTATATGAAATTGTGACATTAATATATTTAATTAATAAAATATATGTTTAATTTATTTATTTATAAATAAAATTAAAAAAACTCTGAATTTTGAAATTTTAAACTTAATTTCTTAAATTTGAAATTGGTAAAACTAAACATCTTATTTATTAATTCTTCCCTTATTAATATTAAGATAGAAATACATACATTACATACGACCCAAAAATTTCAATTCTCATTTACGTTCTAGTGTACATTTGTAAAGGGTTATGCTATACGTATATAACTGTATGCACAAAAGTGTACAAGTACACGGGCCCATCCATGCGAGGGGGTGTAAACTTTTGTGTATACCCAGAGTGTACAAGTAAGTAGCACAATCCATTAGTAAATTTTCCTAAAAATGTGATTATTATTGTTCAAGGGACATGAAGAGTCTACTATATTCTTTAGTGGACGCCTAACAAGCCCACACTTCCTCTGTCCTTTATGGCGTCAAAAACTCAATTCTACCTCCAGCTTGTTTTTAAATCGATATTTTTAAAATATGAAATTTAAGCAAATATACATATAGAAAAACTTGCACAATGAAATTCCATCCATATGCATTCGGTTCAGATCATAAAATAATCAGGTGTTAATCATAAAAGATTCATTAAAATAATCGCCAGAAAAAACAGTGGTACATTGTGCAGCACGTATGGTACACCCATTATATTCACACCAACAATCAAATGGTATGATGATAATTGAAATAGATCTCACACATACAAACTCAAATATTACATTTATTGAGGTAAAATAGCAAATTTCATAGGAAAATGAATTCAGTTCAAAGAAATATTAGTAAAATAATTGATTAATTATGCAATGCCATTATTTTCCTCGATTAAAACTCATTTTCTCGAAATACTTAATCGACAGTAAGGACAGTGAAAGATTCACCTCATCCTTTCCCCATCGAGCCTTCGACCGTGGCGCCGCCGCCAGAGCCGGAGGAAGGCAAGGCCAAGCAGAAACAGCCGGAGGAGAAGAGGTAGACGAAGAAGACGGCTTGAGAAGTGGCCAGAGGTGTCTGGAGTAGAGCCGGCGGAAGCCGCCAAGAGCCAGAACGACGACTCGGAGCTGTAGAGGAGTGCGGTTGTAGTGCTTGGTGCAGATCAACTCCCACAGCTGCTCGTCTTGCGCCGTCCGCTTCCACTGCCTGCTAACGCAGGCAGCTGAGGCTAACGTACGCCCGTCGTCGACATGTTTCAGCACCTCGTACAACAGGTTGTCGTCTAATAGTACGGCCTCAGCTTCTTTAGACATTTCTTCTTCTTCTTCTTCTCGTTTGGGCTTCTTGTTCATATTGATGTCTCCAGCGGCGACGGGTGGGCGTTTCATTGCCGGTTCCGGAAGGGGAAATTCAGGGATTTCAGGGCTTGGTTTTGGTGGAAAATAAGGAGGCTTGATGGGATTGTTGAGGGGATGGATGAAAGGGAAGTTTTTGGTTGTTTTCGATAGAGACAAGCTGCGAAATGAATGCCTTTGGTGGGTTGTTTGAGTGTTAAATGACAATTTTGTCCCTATGATCCATTTTTCTTTACTCTTGGCTCATTATCCAATTAGGAAACTTGCAACACTAGTGCCCAATCTATTTGACTTTGTTGCAACTTCTTCCCAATTTATATTTCCTGGCCCCAACGTCCACTAGTTTAGGTTTTGCTTCGTTCTTAGTCCCCGAGGCTGTTTACATCGAATAGACTTTTAATAAAGAATTTGCACCTTACATTTCAATTTTTTAAAGGTTTAATTGTCCGTTAACCTATTTCAATAAATACTATAAGTTTACCTCAAACATTTGTCCATGTTCTCTTAATAATAGACAAAACGAGCGTATGAAGTAATTGTCATTTCAGATACAAAAGTTTAGTAAAAATGGTAGAATCAAGCTAAGTACTCTACTAGTCTCACTCTTTATATGTCGTAAGCCACACACAAAACTAATGCTTGTGATGGATGCTCCAGTCGAAAATTGTTTTATTCATAACTTTTTCTTAAACCCTTCACTATATAAATGTTTATTTTTTGTGTAGTGCTTGAACAAATTTATCAAATATATTTATATAGTTATTTTAACTAAGAGCCGCGAACAAATCTAAATTCAACTAAGAGTTCGATATTGTACTCTTGAATTATGTGAAATAACTAAAGTAATCAACAATATTAATAATTAAATCCCCTGTTATGCTATATTTCATGATACATACATGATTGAGGTATATTTGTTATCGAAACAGCTTGACATTGGACAAATGAAAATGTTCAAAAAATAGGCGATCATTATGACGTTGCTACTGCCAGAATTCAACTTGCATCTAGATTAATCAAGTACGTCTTGAAAAGCAAGAATGTTGCCATTGTTATTGTTATTGATTCATATTCAAATTTTAATATAAATCAACAATCAACAATCAATTTAAACCACATATTTCATGGACTCCACTACTTGTCAACCACTCATTCATTAACTTTTATCAAAACTGCTAAAATTTCATTTTAATCTCAAGACTAAAAAGAAAGAGACTCAAAGAACCCACAAATAAATCAAGATCAACTGTGTTATCAGTAGGATGTTTTGTTATTTATGAAAACTAACTCATTTATTAGAGTCGTCCTGTATTTTATTACTCGGTAGTAGGGCTATCAATGGATTGAATTTTGATCCGAATCCGATGAAATTAATAGGAGATGGCCTTCTATGCGCCCACTGGGCAACAAAAAAAAATTCCTTCAAAAAAAAAAAAAAAAAGAAGCCCACCCAACCACCCGAGCCCGTCTTTTGAAATAAGCCCAATAGCCTTTCCCTTTTCCCCCAATTCCCTACCTCTTTTTCCCCAATTCCCTTTCGTTCCCAATTTAAATCCTTTTCGTTCCCCCAATTCTCCCGACTGAAGACCGGCGACTAGCGTGATCTCCAATTCTTTCCGATGGGTGTTCACACTTCGCAATACAAGTTAAGCCTTTGGCGACCTTCGGAGTTCGGAATCGGCTACTACTACTGCTTAATTCATTTCTCTCCTGCATCAATTCACGAGAGTCTGAGACAGTGAGAACTTAGACACGAGGTATAATTTAGTCAGTGTAATTTTCTTGAATAGTTTAGCCTCAAAGAAACGGTGTTGGATGTTGATTATATTATTTGTGGCTTGAAGCCTTGAAGGCATTCATTGTCCTTTTTTTTTTTCCTTTTCAATGATTTTTCTTGTAAAATGTTTAGTAATCATTCATTTAATCCCTTGTGAGTAATAGAGTTAGTATGTAATTGAAATCATTCATTTAATCCCTTGTGAGTAATATAGTTAGTATGTAATTGAAATCATGCTATGTGTTTGGTTTAAAATTGATTGTAATTTTGATTCAATAAATTAGAGTTAGTATATAATTGAAATCATGTTGTGTTCGGTTTAACAGTGATGATAATTTTGATTCAAATAGGTCGAAATTAAAGTTAGTATATAATTGAAATCATGCTGTGTTTGGTTTAACAATGATGGTAATTTCGATTGAAACTTGTACAAATGGTGAAAGAAGTGTCATATGGGGCAATCCGTGTTAACTACAAATGCAATTCCAATGCCTTCACCATTGAGGAATGCAAATAAAATTTAAAGGTATAATAATCGTTTCTTGATCAAAGTTCTAAAAAAAATTCCTTATTTCTATGAGCAGAATATGTTTTAAATTTCTGTTTGCACTTAATCTGAAATTGATATCGATAAAAGGAATATTAGACATGGATTGAACTTTTGTGAGGATTGCTGGTTGAAGTCAAGTTCTCTAGACATGATAAATGTTGATGCACTTTTAAGAAAATTTAGATTTTAAGAAAAACAAGGGTTGTGATTGGCTTTATTAACAAGGTTGAGTGGGAGATTCTCCTTCAGTATGCATAAGTGAGGAGGACAGTGTTCGAGTGAATCAATTCCTTATTTCAGAGTTAGCAACTATTCAAGTGGCTATCAACCTAATGACAATGGTGTGAAGTTGTGGAGCCTTATCTATTGTCTTTTGCGAGTGGATTTATAAAAAGAAAGTAGAATTTAAATGTTTTCCTTACTGCTGAAGCCTGAAGGACGTAGGAAGCCAGATAACCTTATAGTATTTGTATAATATTAATGCCATTGAAATCCAGTTGTGGGAAAATAAATTGAAGCTGCTAAAATGATTTCGGTTGATGGATCAACACGTGCGCAAAGATGCAAGGCTGATAATTTATTGGACTTAATGCAGTCCTTTGAGTTTGTGTTTAATCTACATCTCATGAGAACCATTTTAAGGATTTCAAATGAATTGTCTAAGGCATTACAATAAAAAGATCAGGATATTATAAATGCCATGAGTTTAGTGTCAGTATGCAAACAGAGACTCCAAGAGATGAGGACAATGAGTGGGATTCTTTTTTGGATGAAGTCATTTCTTTTTGTCAAAATCATAATATTTATGTTCTTGATATGTATAGTGTGTTTGTACGCCCAGGTCGCTCAAGGTGTAATACTGAACAAATTAAAAAAATTCATCGCTTCCATGTGTATTTATGTTATTTTGTCATTGATGTGCAACTTCAAGAATTGAATGATCGTTTTTCTGAGGTAAGTATAGAGTTATTCTTTTGTTTAGCATGTTTATGCCCCCCAATGATTCATTATCTGCTTTTGACAAGGATAAATTAATTCGTTTTGCTAAGTATTATCCTAAAGATTTTTCAAAGGTACAACTCATGGCACTTGATGATCAGCTTCGAAACTATATTGTTGATATGCGCTCTAACAAGGAATTTGGAGAATTGAAGGGACTTAGTGAACTTGCACTGAAGTTGGTTGTGACCAAAAGAAATAAAGTGTATCCGTTAGTTTACATGCTTGTGACTTTAGGATTAA